ATTTTCAATCAAAAATACTACACGACTATCCCAATGTTCCTTGTGCCTATTGCTCAATGCTCATGATGAACTCTTCCGTAAAGTGGTTGCCCTATGATGAAAATGAACAATATATCTTACCTCTCTCCTTCTCTGATATTCCTGTGTGTATACGCCGAAATAACTGAAATATCGTACAAGTAGCCATTTGCAATGGATGCAAAAAACAAAATACCCGCCGCTATCCTCCGATTTTAGCCGAAATACCTCATGAAATCCAACTTGTTCTAATGTTTCACAGGAGATACCTCTCTCCTGTGCATCTGAATTGCTCATTAGGATGAGCTGCTGGCTTCAATCACTACACCAACTATCGTTACCTAGAAGGATCAATAAATATATCACACAACTACCGTACTTTAGAAATTTATTCTGGAACCGCAGGAGCCTACCTAAATATATATGAACCTCCAAATTGGTTTTACGAAACCTTAATTCCCGCCTCTAACTGGCTTAAACAGCATAATGAACTTATTAAAAAATATGCATCAAACATTAACATTACCCACCCATCACCAGAAACTCCAATACCTATTCCACTACCTCTAGCAAAACAATCAATTAATACTCAAGAATCATTTTCAAATATATACTGCAGTATCCTTCCAAATGAAATTCTACGTCCCCCCAATCTAGTTATTCTAAATGATCAATTCCCACAAGAAATTCACGATGAAGATTCACACTACAATCGATTAATAGCCAGATCAATAAATACAACTAATCTTCCAATCGCATTTAATAATCCTGACTTGGAAGCATTAATATTTCCTGACCTATTTCCTAATGCTAAAGGTCATTACGAAAACGTAAAGCAGCTCTTAAACTTTCACCCTTCAATAGAGAGCTATGGAAAGTATATAAAATTAAGGATGATATGTCCCGATCCTAGATTTCATCTACACTGGTATTGGTCTCATTGGTCATACTTAAATTTAGAAAAAAAATGAAACTTCCAAAATCAACACTGTATATTATCAACTCGTAATGTAAATAGAGAACATCATCCTACAAGAGCAGATTTAATCAGTAAAAGTTCGTACAATGAGAGAAACATCCTA